TCCTTACACAGTGCAGTTGCGAGGGAATCCGGGTCAACGGCTCGAGAACGATTTAGGGCTGTGATCGCGTTTCGGACCTCGGCCTTCGACGGAGGCTATAAACTAACCGTCCATGGTCCGGCTGCATCACCTGAGTAAGAAGAGGTCCGGAATCAGGTGCCAGCTGAACTGCTCTCATAAGTGTTCTTCCCAACAAACCACACAGCGCTTCTTATTGGAAATCATAGCACCCGCGCTGTCTCTGGTTGTCCCTATGACGCACGGTTTCCTGGGACCCGTTGTGCAGATCAGCTGAAAGACCTTGTGGGAATTGCCTACTGCTTCCGCCTCCTCCATTTCTTGAGCCCTGCTGGTCCACCAGGCTTCATTGTCAGCATGCATGCTCCGCTTTAGTTCGCACTTAATGGTCCATCTGGTCACATTTAGCTCAGAGCCAGTTGGGAGTTTTCTTCTGGATTCCAACAGGTTCACTGACCTCTCGGATATCCAGTGACTCATGCGGTGACGATTGATAGTGCCACAAGCAGATGCTCCTGCGTCATGCATGACGGCCGAGATCCTATTCCACTGAAGCTCAGTGTCATTAGGACAAGACGGCGAAAGTTCGGTACGCAGTGCATCCTGGTAGACTTGCATGACCGTGAGCTGAGATAATTTCCCCGGTTGCCAATCGAGAGGACGCTTGATGCGCCTCCTAGTGAAGTTCACGGAGAAACGACAGCGTACCAAGGCATGATCAGAGTCGATGCAAGTACTCCAGTACCATCGGCAATCCAGGATGGAACCACGCCACCTGTAACCTATGGCAATGTTATCTATTTGGGTCCATTGCTGTCCATTTACAGGAGGACGCCAAGTGGCACTTCGGCGCCCACTGTGTCTAAAAGCAGTGGTACTAAGAAACAACTGGTGCTCCGCACACAGTCGCAGCAGATGCCCACCGTTGTCAGTCCGTTCGGATTTAATCCCATAATTAACACCCAGTTGAGCTTCTGAAAATGTCAGACGCCCTACCCCCTGCAAGTATTATGATCTCCGAACTGGTAGCACGGCGTAGTAGCCTGTCCATTTCGTGATAGAATGTGTTCTTGGCAGCATCAGAACTGCAGTCGGTGGGAACATAAGCGGAAACCACAAACAGACAGCGTCTTGTGCTATGTCTTGAATCAACCTTAGTTGATGACGTGAAATAGGCTGCACACAAACGGCTGCTCACGGGAATCCAATCAACCAACGATGACTCAGCCTTGGAGCTGAGAGCGATGCCCACACTAGTTTGACCAGAGGTTACCGCATCAGCGTCTCCGGATGCATGCAACCAGTGGCGGGAAGACAAGCTGGGCGCAGTTAATTCAACAACCTCGTGATGGTCATTGATCCTAGTTTCGGACACGCGACACACGGCAATACCAAGTGTGTCAAACGTACGTGCGAGGGCAGCCTGTTGACCTGTTTGTCTTAGAGTGCGAACGTTGAACGCCGCCAGGGAAACGGGACATCGTGGCCTTATAAGGGACCGTTGCCGATAGGCGTCCAGTGGGTGGTACGGGAAGTTAGCTGCAGATGGGATGACTTGTCGCATTGCGACTGCTGTCAGTTAACCTGGTTATTATAGAAGGAAAGTGGTTAGTATTGGGGGTTGGGAGTGGAGTAAAGGAAACGTGGAAGACAAAGAAGGGAGACGCCAGCAGTAGCACGTTTTCGCTTATCCGCCCTGCTGTATTCAGCAGATAAGGCGACCCTTGATTATCTGCGCGACGGATGATGCAGGCTTTGGTTAAATTTTGAAAAAATGTTCATGGTTGTACGTCAGCTGAGGTACTGCTATGGCTCCCAGACCAGACAAGAGGATGATTAGGGTCCTCAACCAAAGCCTTTGGCTCAAAATCCTGCCCGCAACTTGGCGTGGAGGTGGCAATTTAGTTTTACGGAAATGCACACCATCCCACTTCGAAACCCCAACCTTGAGGACCAGGGGACTGAGTTTGTCTGACCTCTAACCATTGACCGACCTGATAGAAGTCGCTCTCAAGTGGCCCGGGGGCACCACCCAGTATAGCTCAATGGTTCTATGAAGTACGCAGACCGTCACACTACGTTAAGGTCCAGTCTTGTTGCGACGGCAGAACGGTCTGCGCAGACAGAGCAAGGGAAAGTGTGGCGTAAACAAGTAAATTCACGTAATGCGAATGCGCTACAGGTTACCAACGGTGGGATTAAGTATATTCATCTAAATGTCGTAGTAAGAGGGTTCTCGTAAAAGCGGATCCATGTCACTTGTACACCCACATAAATGTGATTGTCTGTTCCTTACGTGCTTTCAGCTTGCGCGATTCTGTAGGGAAGTGCTTCCCCCTAACTAACATAGTATAGCTCTATGATAGTGACGCACCATCACTGTTTATTGGTGCGCTGCTAGTGACGTCTCTACCCTATTGCGCTCTAATTTTTTTATTACATGAGGTACTCCACGGAAAGTTTATGGTCGTGAGGCTTTTTATCCCTTTTTAGGCGTTCAGGATTGTCCGAGATGCAAGTATCGGTAACCAAAACGAAAGCTGGCTTCACTCTGCTACTCCTATTCCGGAGATCTTCGATGCAACTTTAGGCGGTTTGTCATCCATGGCGTTGTTAATACCGATTTCTTGGCGTCCCAATTCCCTCAGTTGCCGGACTACGATTTTGTAATATATTCAAGTCACTCTGTGTATCACGGAATTCGCTGGATCAATTAACCTATAATTACATCTAGTGTGTGTCCTTATAACTTGGGTATACGCTTTATCCTCAGTTTCCTCCTTATTCCAAGGACCTAATTTTCTCAAGCGTGAGTCACAGCCAATTAGATTTTGTAAACGAATTTTCAGACGACGTTTGGAAACATACACTTTCGTGAGAACGTCTCCGCCTCCGTTGATTGCCGCCGCTGGGTGTCGTCACTGCATACTTAAGGTTTTTTTACATGTTGCTAAATTATGCTGTCTAAATCTCAGATCTTTGCTTCATTTGATTTATGTGTGAATCCTGATCGCTTCTTCCTATGTTTGACCTCCGTGACAGTATTGTTGCTTCCATGCGATAAGGATCTGTAGCGCTGGGAGCGATAACCTTTATCTGTCATCGCACTGTTTCTGTTGTGCCTTCTCCATTGCATGCATCAAGGATTTTGAGTGCTTCCCTTGTTTTTTCTCGACCATTCTTTTAATTCCTTGTTTCACACTATTAATCCATTTTCTGCTGACGTTTTTTAAACACAATTTTTAAAATGTGATTTACAGTCTTGACTTAACGCAATATTTATGATTTTTGTGACTGAACCTTCAGTAAATTCACCAATTTATATTATTTTGTAGTCATTTTATCCTATCCATGTTTGCCTTCATTAGTCTAATGCTTAAATCACATTTCAGGACGTCTCCTTTAAAAAGGACGCCAGCACAAAATGGGTTAACCTCTTTCAATGGACATCAGCAGTCCGGGTATCAACCTTGTTGCTTCTTTGATCGTTGTTTATACCACTCGTTCCATTTGAAGTCAAATCCATCGTAGTCTGCCATTTTCGCCTGGATCACACTACCTAGTCACCGTGTTGACATTCGGTTTGTTTGCCTTGGACCATGTTGAACAGCATCCCTCTTCGTAAAAGCTATGTGGACTTATGCTGTCCATTTGAAGCTAAGATACAATCATTTGCTCGGGTTTTGGTTGCTCCACGGAAAGAACCTCAGTTTTTCGTCGCCTGTTAATCGCTCCCCTCAATGCCACCTATTTAGACTCCACTCGAGGAATTCGCACTTCGTCTTACTGCTGTTTTCATGCTCTTACGACTATCTTCCTTATTCATCTAACTTATGTGCCTCTTATTTTAGTCTGCTTGACCATATCTGCTAGTCCACACTTTGGACTCGGTTCTTCGCTCACATCCGGTGCTGAACCTGTTTTAGTGATTCCACGTCACGACAGATCCTAAAGTTGACGTCGCCCATTATGCAACACCTTTCTAGTTCCTGGTCTCAACACAGTCTGACAGTGAATCTCACTCACCGACGCCGGCAAGCACACCAAGTGCTTAGGCGTCATTGCCGTCAGTAGCCGTACTGACCAGCATTCGAAACCGTACGCAAGATATTCTCGGTTGACTTATCTCCCTATCTCTCGTGGTGGTGCAAGTTCCTACCATTGGCAGCGACGATCGTCGTCCGTGTCATCTCTTTCCATCTTTTCTGCCTATTTACGCCCGCCTATGAAATTCCGATCAACTTTATCTGATCCGAACATCCATTTCCGTTCATTCCACTTGCCGTGACTCGATTTGCGATTACCTTTATCCTTTGACATACAACAATGGAGCCTATGGCTCCGCTCGGTCCAATTATTCGCGACCACTTCCGAAGGACGCAGACACCATATACCCAGGAACCTGTGCCGTGTTTAAAGCCTCATCACTCTGCCGTTTCTTAGCTACGCCGGAATCACTGCATTTTTGTGGTGCTTCCAAGTACATTATCGACTGACTATTTAATGCATACTTTTACGAAATATGAATTTTACTTTGTTTGCACTCTTTTAATCGAGCGGGCCGTTGACCCATATTTTTCGAGCATCAAGTGAAGCTAGTGGATTTCGTGCAAGCTACAAGTCACTTTGTGACTTGCTGATCTGCTCAACGGTTGACAGGTAACCGATGGGCATGAGGCGCCCGCCTTATTCTCCACAGGTCGCCAGTACGGATTTTCGTAGGTGCGGGTTAACTCACAATTTCTAGCTCGTGCGCTACTGGTGGTGGTCGCGTGGGAACGATGCATGGGCACAACGCTGGATCCGTATGAGTCCCATCACTGGAATTACGCGCCTAATGCCTTGTGCACCAAACTCGTAGATGTATCTCGTTACCCTGGCATCTGCATCTTTATCCGATTGTTTGCAGAGCTGACCATAATATTATCCTCGCATAAATGCTTACATTCATCGACTTCAAACGCAACCCTTTTTCTCGATAGGTTACTTTCGCATGCTAACTTGGAATCGCAGCGCCTGAGAGTAGAACGAGATTCAGCCCTTGCCGAGCTGGAACGTAACTCAAAAACGTTCCAACAACGCGTGCAATCTGCACAAGATGAGGGTATGATTTGGTTACTATCCTTTTTATCCTAAATATCGTGTTTGTGACCAGAGTTTTCCTTAATGTTCTCTCGCTTCTCCGTCCACAGTCAAAATGGAAGTTATCCATCTACGAGATATGACCGAAACATTGAGAGAAAATTTGAAACTGAAAGATCAGGTGAGCCTCTTTCCGTTCTATCGATGTACGACGTACTGATGTTGCTGCACATTCATCGACCACAGTCTATGTGATAATCGTGATTCGGGCTTTGTAACACGTGAAATACGCGCCGTTCTCGTGCAGTCTGAGTTGAACGCCAATTGTGTGGGACACTACCACTTCCGTCATCTCTAGCTGCGGACCGTCAAGTATTATCTTTCGAGCGACTGTCTACCATCGGCGTTGTATTGCTATTTTATCACATTGAAGTAACGCCCCCTCATCCCGATTACCGCAACCCAGTCTGTACGAATTAATGTACCTCCCCTCGAATCTGGCATGCGCTCCGTTCTCATCGAAACTTCGCCTGGCCCTTTTACTTGAAGCTGCGGGACTTGTACAAAATGCTTTAACTTCATCTGTGATCTCGCTTGATTTCTGGTCCAGATCGTTCGATGTTTACAGCATGGCCCACACAGAATAGGGAGTTATATTCTGGAATAAGGAAGCGCGTACCATAGTAGATGCAACAGGACCTCTGTTCTGCCGCTTCGGAAGCCCCACGTTTGAAAAAGGCACTTATCCTTTTCATAGTTAGACGTACGTTTGCCACCTGCGCTTCGTTTGACACAGACTCATTGCTCGAAGTCTTCCCAAGGCGTATTAACGCCCGTTTCACTGAATTGGCTGCGGTTGACTAAATCAAGTCTGTGTTTTTCATGCAGGGGCGATCGTTTGCCAACCTCTGTCTATCGTGGATATGAGAGAATCTCTTCCTTCATCTCTATCACAATCGGCTGGACCTTTAAATCGGCCGTTGCCATTTCACTGGAACACCGCTCTTACTTTATCTGCCGCGGATTCAACAGACTTCACCTATTTTGTTGACATTTTCTTCGATTGTACTACTCCAAGGTCACTAGCGCTGTATTGCGATGATTTTTAAAACGTGCTTTGAGATACTGCGCGCGTTATGCGTAAATTTATCAAAGACACTTTCCTAACTTAATGAATCATCGTCCCAATTTACAAAGTGGGATCCGACACTGTAACTTCAACAGAAAGCAAATGTCAATGATTCACTTTTTCAGCGGAAGTTATTACATACATATACGGCACCATATTCGGGTGATACCTCTGCACCCGATGCTAATTTTTCCATCGATAAATTTGCGTTTTTAAATTTGACATTTTAATCCATCCGCGGTAATTATTGTAAAATGCTGAAAATACACTCATTCGGGTACATAAAGCTTATATTGGCTTGATTTGCAACTCATTCAATCGCATTATTTTGAAGTTATATGCACTTTGTTCTTGTTTTTAAACTGTGGAAACAATCCGAGCCATATCAACGTGCTAATTTTCATCTCCTCGCTACATTATTCAATGCACTGCTGTGGTCTGGTTGCCTCAAAAACACACAGCGAAACAGTCTCGACTTTTTCGTCATCAGATTTGATATACAATTCAAACTTGACTTGCGTCTCACATTAAGCACTTCTGATGCATTTTTGTTGAAGGTTTTATTTATACAGCTGCATAGAAACACTGTCCACCGTCAGTGCATACCTTTAATTGACAATCTCTGCAACAACCCACTTTACTTATATATTCCTTGTTTCTTATACCAGCATGGATCAGAGTCATGCAACCCTTATATACCCGGTTTACGATAACCTAACCATACTGTTTTGGATACGATAGCCAGAGTGTTCTGAGAAACTCTACAGCCTGTTGATTCAGTTTTCTCTATCGATTACACATAGGTCGGAACGCTTGCCACCATCTGCTAACTGCGTTGCGGTTTCGGCTGCTTTTGCGCTTGCTGTTGATAATTACATCGCAGCCATGATATTCTAATCCTGTCATGGAAATGCATCTTCCGTTTTTCTAATTGATGTCTTCCTTTTATTCTCTCCATACTCTTTTTAGGAACTAGTTGAGTGTCATGTTCAAATCGCCCAGTTGAAATCCGCTCAGCTAGACCAGCAACAACAAGCAACTGAAGAACACACCCGCCTCCAGACTCAGTGCACTCAGGCGCAGGAGCAACTAGCACAAGCCCGATCTGAGTTGCGCAACGCGGAGCGTATGCTCAATGACCTACTGGACCAACGTCGCGATGAAGTACGTCTACATCACTTGGTGAATTTCACGTTCCATATGCTGCACGACTCATTGTCAACCGTATTACGTTGCTTGTTATGATACAATTCAACTTCACAGGCCAGAGTGTGTTCTGCTCATTTACAGAATCTGTCTTATGTCAGTTCATATGCGGCAGGATGCTTAGCTGGTACATGAGCTGGTGGGAAGGACATGGTTGCTGTCGACGTACGGCCGGACATTTCATTTCACCATGTAGCCCAAGGAATTCGCGAAGAAGAAATGGTGTACATCATGCATTATTGAACTTCCTACTTTTCTACGACATCTGCAACCGTGGTCGAAATGGACCGTTTAGTATTTCTCTCTGCGTTTTCCTGAACAACTTGAGTCTGCAAATCTGCATTTGTCAGTTTGTTCTTGGTCAACCATAGGGACCTGATTTCCTTCCACAGTTTAGGCATTGGCGTCTAGTTTTCGAGTGAAAGCTCAGGCTTAGTGTGTTGTTAACTCTTTTTCACAGTGTTAATTCGTTAGATCTTTCCTTTGGATCAATTCTGACGACGACAACGAATCACGACTGATCACTACTTTTGGCTTAGCGGATGGCGAATTCGGTCACTTATGTGTTACGCTTCGTTGCAGTTGTGTACATACGGGGAAGGTGGCATCCCATTCCGGATGTGCCTATTACTGCGGTCTACATAAAACAACTACATGACGCCTGCACGTACAGAGGGACCGTGGATGGCTTGCGCTGCACCACCCACAGCTCCAACCACACACCCCAAATCCAGTGTAAACCCGAAGGAATATGACCGCGAGGCATGTGGATGGGAGCCACGTTTCATCAATGGACTCGACCCACATTCTTTCAACATGCACAGCGGCAGCATTCTTGTTAATCTAATTTAGGAATCATGTGTGCCTGATGTACACAAGGTGGTGGCTTGGCTATAATCCATTCCACACTGGGTGGAGCCATTCACTGAGCTTAACACCTTCACGAGGACGGTGCACCGCGTCATTCCAGCAAGGACTAACTGTCTCCTGAATACAATACTCGTGGTGGAGGGTGTTATACTGGTGGGCATTATGTCAATATTTACAGCAAGCGCAGCCACACCGAGGATATCAAACGACAAGCACGGATGGGGAAAATAGTAAACACGCAAGCTTGACATTAAATATATATCCGAATGACAGAACCGAGTAACTGAAACTGGGTACTATGTCCAATCTCTAGTGCAAAGGTGATCCTTAGCAAGTATAAGGCAGGGGACAGCAACTGACTAACACCCAGAGAATGAAATGAAAATCAACGCGCAAAATAAACAGGGAATATGCGGAGGATTAAGAGAAATGAAGAAATAAAATAAAATGGATTAAGTCAGACCTAGTGTATTTCGGGACAACCACAAGTGTAAGTCGCTTTAGCCCAACTGCGATGAAGAAGCATAATCAATGGAACACCAACTTGTGCTCAAGTCCCTGACTTATTCAGGGGCAAAACTCACCTCTACTACCACCTGCTAGACGTGGGCATTTATGGAAACCTTCATCCTGACTTTGCCTGACACTAGCATTCTTATAGCCTTCATACAACCAATGGTTGTATGGCGCCTAAGCAGTGCAGAATGCTGAGGCACTGCTGTTGTGAATTTTCTGTTGAATCGGTGAGTACCGCCTATTCGCGGCACATCACCGCAGTCAAACGGTACTCGTCCTATCATATGCAGTTGGTTGCTTTAGTTGACCTGCCTAACCGACATATGCACACACACATGTGGTGGAGTCGCAGTGTAAAGCACACAGGTGGTGTGAAGTAGGAAGAACTTGAGCAGCAAAAGAGGCCAATCAGAAGAGGGTTGAGAAAACTTTACTCGTTTGGTGAATGCTATCAGACGTTGAAAACAATGACTAAACTACTAAACACTGCTTGCCTCAATTTTGTCTTAGTGTCGAATGTGGTTTCTAGCCATGGATGTGAGGTTGATCCTAGGCCCTGCTATGTAGAGCAGACGAGCTAGCTTACACTCGTTCACTCCTTCGAGTAGTCGAACTTGGACTCTGTGTAGCACATTGCACTATGGTTGTCCACCGGTGCTCGCGGAGTATTGCTCGTGTATGGTTAGAGAACTGGGTGAACAATGCTGTGAATACTGAATACTGTATTATAAAGCAAGTAGAAATGATTTATATGCAACTCTTTCGAAAAATGGTGAAAAACGTTATAATCATTCTCAGTCTTGAATACTGTTATCATTCTCATGTAACATTTAACATATCTGACTCACGGTATTGCAGTACTCACAAATGTGAGAAGTCATCGTAAGTGTGCACTCGTTCTCTGAATCTAATAGTATAGAATCGAAAATATATCTAAAAACCTTTTGAACTGCTGCACAGATGTTGCCTTCATCACACCTTCAGGCAAACTGTTCCAAATATTTTCTACTCCGTTTGAAGCACAGTGGGTGAGGAACATGTTTCACATCCGGCACGACAAGTTTGTATATTTGTCCGCGTGAGCTACACGGCGCTCGTAACTGCAGCATTGCCCTCAGCATGGGGAAGTCATCCAGATGTAGAATACGCTAGGTCATAATGAGGTCGATTCACACCCGACGGCAGGACAAGGTGTAGAGTCCTAGTTTCTCGCACCGGTCTTCATGCCCTAAGCCACGTAAACTTGGGATGAACCTGGTAACAACGTGTTGGACCCGTTCGATCTTTTGTGCCTCGCCTCGGGTAATCGGAAAGTAGGCGGGCGAACCGTACTCTAGCATTGGTCTAGTGATGAAAGAGATGAGGCGAGTGAGAACCTCTTCAGACCATGTACCGAAGCTACCTTTGAGTACCCAAAGCATGCGCAGTCCGTTACGATATAGCCTGTTCGTGTTGTCCACGGACTTCAAATCGTAGCGTGAGGGTACACGTAGGTCCTTCACGGAGGATGTGAGATATAGCGGTTGGCCGTCAAGGGTGTGGGTTCGGCCGTCATCCCCCCACCCCGAGCTCAAAAATACAGACTTGGCTGGGTTGACCGGGAGAAGAACTTCTGCAGACCATGTGGATAGGCGGTTGAGGTCTTGCTGAAGTAGGCCACAGTCATCGGGAGCCTACATTTCTCTCCAAATCTTCATGTCGTCCTCAAACAAGGCACACGGAGACCGGAAAAGCTGAGATAGATCGTTGATGCGGATCAGGAACAGAGTGGGCCCCAGCACAGTGCCTTGAGGCACGCCACTTGGGTACCAGTCAGTTAGATGGTCGTCGACCTGTAACCTCCAATTTCGTCCAACAAGAAAGCCGCGGATCCACCGGTGCAGTGAGCCACCGACACAACACATCCTGAGTTTGTGCAGGAGAACCTCATGGCTGACTTTGGCGAACGCTTTACTGAAATCGATGAATATCACGTCGACGGACTTCCCCTTGCTGATTGCGTTCAATCACTCATGCCTCGTCACAAGCAGGTTCGTAATGCATGAGCGACCTTGCATAAAACCGTGCTGTGCGGGCGTCAAGACCTCGTTTGACTGTAGCAAGTGCAGCAATCCCTTCTTCACGGTTTTCTCAGCAATCTTTGCCAATATAGGTGTCAGACAAATTGGACTGTAGTTGTCTACTTTGCTAGGGTGGCTGCCTTTCGGAATAGGCTTCACCACTGAACATTTCCAGTCAACTGGCAACGAACCTTCGGACAGCGACCTGTTGAATAGGTCAGTCACGATAGGAGAGATGATGGTGGAAAGTGACTTGAGAACCAGTGGTTGAAGCCCATCAGGTCCGGCACGTTTAGTGTCGTCAAGGTTGGCGAATAGTTGACTTACCTCTTCAACGCCACAATTCAGAATGCCGAGTTCGGTAAAAGCGGTATACGTCGAACTCGGAACAGACACCTAGTCCACCAGTTGGTTTTTTGACGAGAAATCTTTTGGTGCCTCACTCGAGTGTCTGTTGAATCTTAACCGCTTACGTTGGTTAGGTCAAGTCCACCGTGTGCCTATCAGCCGGCTTCTTCGGCGTGGATTATACACCGTGAGCACACTAAATTGAGCGAAACCGCGAAGTGGCCAGTATGTGACGTATCATAATAGCTTGTAAAAGTTGTCTGTGAGGTTTGCTCGGACTAGTGCTTGCTGTCGTTGTGGTTGGAACCCTCAGGATGATCCGCACCAGTGTTGGGAGACCCTTTCAAACTTGGCGCAGTCGGTGACATTCCTGCCTTCGGTTTCTTCTATCTAGCAATCAGCTAAAGATGGCGCGGAAGCGTAACGGACTGCCGGTCGTACTGGTCAGCTTATCTAGACTCCGATCACATAATGCTTCGTGCCAAGATTTGCATGCGTTTCGGAGGATAACCTTAGTGCGCTCATTACCGACCGGACTTCGCTAATCGACGAAACCCTGCGATTTTAACCAGGTACCAAGCCTCGCTGTCAACTTTGCTTGGCTCAACTATTGGCGGTGACCTGGATTCGCAGTGGGCGCAGATCAAAGATGCCTTAATTTCCACCAGTATCGACACTTGTGTAGTTCCCGTCATTCACTGAAGCATTGGATTTCCGTAGTCTCCTTGTCGCTGATGGACAAACGCCGCTTGGTCCCGCCGCATTCCAGATACAGTGAAGAACGCTAATCCCTTGGTCAAGAGTTGCGCAGGAGTCTGCAAATGAACCGCGAAGCTTGGTCGTGTAAACGTGGTAGGGAGATGGAGGTTGCTAATCTCTCTGGTAACACCAGTAACCGAAGGTGTTCGATCTGGTATAAGCGAAACAATATGTGGAGAGGATGGCACCATAAGGGCGATTGGAGCGATGGGCCAAACATTTTGGCTCGCAGTTTTGTTGGCCCCCAGCTCCATCTGCTACCTCTGGCGCTCGCGCTGGGGCCGAGTGATCTACCCCCACAGATCATCCCTCTTACCAGGAACTGGAGCAGGAGCTCCACCACATGAAGGGTCATAAAGCCCCGACCCTGATGGTCTTCCTGCAGCTCTATTTAAAGGTTGTGGAGCTTCACTGGTTCGAGAACTTACCGCTTTGTTCTCGAAAATTTGATCGCAAGAGGAAACTCCATCATTTTAAGGTTGATCGATAGTCATCCACCATCTTCAAGAAGGGCCTGCGCACAATCTGCTCCAACTACAGAGGCATAAACTTAATCTCCGTTGTTTGCAAGCTGCTGGTGTCCATCATACTTCGCAGACTATCTCCAACGCGCGAATCGTTGCAGCGAGTAGAACAAGTTTTGTTTCGCCCTTTTCGCGGCTGTATCGATCAAATCTTCACAGTCCGCCATGTGTATCAGAAGCCAGCGATTGCTGTGTTCTTGGATATTCGTGTAGTCTTCGATTCTATCGATCGGACGGTACTGTGGCACCGCCTGCCGAGGAATGGTGTCCCCGAGAAGTTCGTCTCCATACTGCGCACTCTTTATAGTCTGACATCGGGCAGGGTTAGGGCTTATGGCAAGCTTTCGCCCACCTTCGTGGTCTCCAGTGCAGTTCGACAAGGATGCCCTATCTCTCCGTTCTTATTTAACTTTGCTACTGAGGATGTCATAAAGTACGCCCTCGGTGATCCGTTGAGCGCTGGCGTTGAGCTCCTCCCAGGTAGTCGAGTTGTTGATTTGGATTATGCTGATGATATCGTCTTGCTGGGTGGGGATTCACATGTCGTCCAACTTGCATTAAACTGCTTCACGATTGAAGTATCAAAGTATGGTATGTACTTTTCGCCATCCAAATGCAAAGCTCTCTTCCATGACTGGCATGTGCCTCTGCCTGCACTCACTCTTAGTGATGAGACACTAGAGGTTTTGGAGAGCTTTGTCTACTTGGGAAGTTGCATCACTGCTAGTGGTTCTGTGAGACGAGATTTGGATGCGCATCTCGAGAGCACCCATGGCTTTTTCTAGGCGGAGGCACTTGTGGCGTCGCCACGACATTTGTCTCTCCATCAGGGTGCGGGTCTATTGTTCAATTGTTCGTGCTGTACTGTTGTACGGATGGGAGACCTAGCCCATTCGTAAAGATGACTTGCGCAGGCTATCTGTCTTCGAGCACCCCTGTCTACGGTTCATTGCCCGTGTGTGGTGGCGGCACCACCTGAGCAATGTGGAAGTTTGGCGATGTGTCTTGAGACGTGGAAGCCACTCCTTCGAGGAGCTTGTCTCACTGCGTCAACTACGGTCACTGGAACACGTATTATGCACCCCTGTCCAGCGTGATCCGCTTCATGCGTTGGTTGCGGTTGCTGAACAGGACTGGAGGAGACGGTCTGGTGGACAGCCTGCAACTTGGAGAAGCCGCATGTAAAAGCTGATGAAACAGTTGGTCTCGGACGGTTGTTGTCGACTACCGGGTTGGGTTCCGAGAGATGCGGTTACTTTCTGGTTGAAGACCTTGTAAGCTATGGCTCAAGATCGATGTCAGTGGCGGGTATGTGCATCATTGTGTTGCGGTCTTCATTCTTCCTCCCCTAAAATACAAACAAACTGGAAAAAATATTGAGAAACTGTTACTGGTTAACTAGACAAAATAGGTTTTGTTATTGCTACTCTTTTGTGATTATTCATACTGCGCCTACAGAGGGACCATGGATGGCTTGCGCTGCACCACCCACAGCTCCATCCACACACCTCATATCCAGTGTAAACCCGAAGGAATAAGACCGGTAGGCATGCGGATGGGAGCCACGTTTCACCAACGGAGCCGGCCCACACTCCTTCACAGACAAACACAAGCACGCTGTATTTGGGGAATCAAGTGCACAGAAGGCAGTGGCTGGACCGTAGTCCGCTCCACACTGAGTGCATGGAATCACTCTTCGAGCCTAGCACGACCACAAGGACCGTGCACCCCGTCCCCTCCAGCAACGACCAACTGTCTCCTGGAGCCAGTATGGACGAGGTAGTAGGTAATAGACAGATAAGCACCTTGTCAACATGCACATCGAGCGCAGCTACATCTGGGATGTCAAACAACAGGCAATCATTCGAAATGCCGATATCGATTAAAGTAAACGCATATAACGACATAAATACTCGCTAAATGAGCATATAAAAGAAATTGGTTATAAGTGAATCCGTGCTAAGTACAAAATGTCCGAAAGTTACCTAAAAAACTACCACGCGATACAATTACGCAAGTTTACCACAATTTGCGTGAGCGACGTGTGCAAGTTAGGAGATTATCAAGTAAGCAGAACAAACCAAATAACGTAATGAATTTTATCCACATTAAAAGACCTATTGTAAGTTGGTTTAGCCCAACTGTGGTGAAGAAGCATCATGAATGCAATCTCAGCCTCAGCAAGGGGTATATATATATATATATATATATATATATATATATATATATATATATGTCTTACATGCAGTCGTTAATTCTCATTCCATTCTGATTAGTGTAACGCACCTTCTTGATCCCACCTTCTTTGCATTCTATTTACATTCAGTCTCATTTTTATGTTTTTATTTATTGTTATTCTGGCGATGTAAGTCGTGGAAACTGGATCCATCGCACTTCGGTGCTCGGGTCATCGTTTTTCAGCTGAATTAATATGAACTGAACAGATTACACTAGCCTTTCGAATCCGGAAGTGCACAGATACTGCACTAACATGATTATTTTCTTGATTTCCAGTTAGGACGTTTTTATCTCCATACTATAGGTTCCTGATAATTCGGTCCTTCTGAAATCTAACGACGAAAGGCCATTACAGAAACTGATTGCAATCTGTTCCTGTTGTCCTCACTTCATTATGTGTCATTCCAAATGATTCCTGAGCTTTAACTAGTTTTTATCTTGCCCTCCCATTGCTGGCGACTTCGCATCCGGTTGATCCCCGTCAAGCTAACGTTTATGACGAAACGAAAGGCATCTGGTTAACTGTAAACAGTGACTACAGTAACCAGTCTGTTTTGTAAGCTTTCATTTTGTCAGCATTTATGTCTATCCAAATCGAACAGTCTGACAATGCATGCCCCTGCCCATCTAATATCTGACTCAGCGCTAATAGTTGATTTGCGATGGGGTATACATATCGAGGCACTCATTCACACCGCAACCACCGGGTTCGTCTTATAGTATTGTTTTATTCTCCAAATTGTTGGTCCGATCAATTTGCTAAGCTATCCCAAAGAGACTTCGCTGTTAAACTAACTAATATACGCATATTTTCGATTTGACGCGACATCTCATTTCACGTGATCAGTCGGTCACATGAAATAACTGCATCGATCACATGTTTATCGCTAACACGCACCAACTTGCAATGCATCAGTTTATTTATGTCCGTTCTCGGGTGAAAAGGCTGTGCAAATACTGTTCTGATTGACTTGCGTCCTGACTCGTATACTTATGTATCTGAATGGTTTTCTCTAATGAAGTGTCAAAGTCGGCGATGTTGATTCTAATTTTCGCGCAATAAGCACGTCTAAGCCTTACATTAGCTGTGTATTTGTTTTCATGTTCGCCAATTAACCGAAACCCCTGATTTTAAACCGAGTTCCACGCATCTGCCATTTGGTTCCCTATTGTTGAGTGCGATTGTCTACTAATCCTCATCAGCGTTGAGTAGGGTACCCGAGTCTGCAGCTTCAGTATTTATCTAGTAGCGCTTTGCTGCATGGTTTTCTATCTCAGGCACTTAGATTCTTGCTACACAACGAAGTAGTTAAAGGCTGGTACCACACTTTTTGGTTGAAATTGGGATAGGTTCGCCTCTTAGGTACTGTTGCTTTTACCAGGTCTCATCAGCTTTCTTCTTGTTTTTTGTTCTCATTCTCAACGCAGCTCGGACGGATAGGAGCGCTCCACTAAATCGCCTTGAACTTGATGGCACTTGATAACTTGGTTTGCTTTTAATCCGAATGTCGCGAAGACAGTGGCATATCACAGTCCTGATATTCCTGTTGCTTCTGTTCCTCTAGCCTATTTGCTTTGTTCCCTCCAAAAAACTAAGATACCGCACTGGCTTGTTGCGCGGCTTTTAAAGCTGTTCCATCTAGCTGATCTGAAAAATGCTTCATTTTATCTCAATAATCACTTCTCACGCAGAGACGTTTCTCCTATCTTCGTTTCGAATACAATTGATTAGACTAATATGTTTGTTCAGATCTCGCCTAGTTTAGATTCAGCAAATTCCCTTGGAATCAAAATATGCTCAGTGTGTCATATTTGGCCTATAAATCAACTTGACTGCATCCGTTAGGCTCTATCTACTGGCAACTACTTCGTTTTATAAATCCAAACACATATATTTCGTCCATTCGGCAAATAAATAGGACCTCTATTTCTCTGTCGATAGATCCTAACACACTACACTCTTGAATCGATCATTTGGTCCCGTGTTGGGAGCTAGCGATGCGTAAAAGATTATTCTCTTCGCATGCGCCCGAATGATTGAAGTGTTAAATTGGGATTGGATTTCTCGATCTGTAAAAATCGCACGTGCTCATACTTCTACATATTCTGCACTCACTACCGCGGTTATTTTGTGATTCTCATTCTGCTTTCAAACAGCTGAATAAATTAGAGAGAAACTGCGAACAGAAGACGGAGCGATTGGGTCACGTAATTCAGACAATGCAGCCCCTCACAAGCGATATTTTTTCGACTGACTTTCTGAATGCTGATTGTGGTCAATCAGTACACACCCTGAACTACCCCCCGAACGCTCCTAATCAGACAAAACTGGGTAGATAATTTTCCTCCTTTAAACCGCTTATTTTGTAGATGCTTTGGCCAAATCTCTGCAACATTTGACTCGGCTAGCTGCCCGTCTTGGCCACGACAGCTCCAGTGAATCTGGGGACTAACACGATGGATCCTAGTTTCCTGTGGCTTCTCTGCGCACTGTGTAAACTTTTTCTTTGTCCGCTGTTGCACAAATATAAAAATATTCCAGTACTCTTTTTGGTTAGAACTCTGATCCTGTTCAACTTTACCATTTACCACTAATGCTACGTAACCGGATTTCTCTGGTCAAGTATGCTTGCGGATGTACTTGTGGGTTGAGCATCGGGTTGTCTCATGGGTTCTGCCGCGAACACTTTAAATGGATATCATTTCTGTTGACGAACCTGGTCACTAGTGTCTATTGGTAATTGGGAAAACATCGTCTATGCCCTTAACTTCATCCACTCCCCGCTAGTTCGACACAATATTGACTCGGAACTTTGAAGTTTTCTACTGCGGAACTCGCCAATGATTATATTTAATAGCTACTTATCACATAGACGCTTTGTTATATCCCTGTGGTTCCCTCAGTTACTTACTACTCTCTCGTAAGTCTGAGTGATAGGAAAAATACGCGATATGCCAACACGAAATCGCGGATTTCCAACTAATAGGAAGTGCTGTTATCTCACCAATCAGCGATTATTTTAGATCGTTGGCTTAAGTCCTATTGCACATTGAACCAATCCGGGAGAACCACGGCCGAAAACACTAGATGATTAGATCAAAAGTTTATTCTTCTAGGTGGGCTGGTTCCGCAGTAAAACCATGGCGGTGCATTCCACTTTAACTACTGAATGAGTTTAAAATAACTCATAAACTACGTGCTCATTCGTGTGCAATTTGATTCAGCTTGGTGTATCTGTCAAGTGAACACCATGGATCAATTCGTCTGATTTATCTTCTCTATAATTATATCAACGATCCTCTCACATGTCTGTACCGCATCCACAGTTAGACAGTTTTCATCCGGATGAAATGGCTCCAGAGTTTGCAGTTGACTAGTGATTAGCGTCTCAGGCATGAAATGTCCTTCTCTTCTGTTAAGGCGCTGTCGTAGCAACTCCTCGTCGCCCTGCAGAAGGACGAATAAGATGTCATTTTTTCTGCTTGAGTTGGTCAGATCACCTTGGATCAGGATATCACGATATTTCCGCTTCAACGCTGAACACGCAACTACTGCATTGTCACTTTCGCTCAGTTTCTTGTATATCGTCATTAGCCATGGGTACCTGTCTGCATCGTTCAACGGGATGCTTCTGGCCATTTTGCTGCGATTGTGATCACTGTGGTAATCGTCTGCTTCTATCATTGGCCACTGGAGCTTCTTCGCGAGTGCATCAGCCACTGTGGTCTTACCGCATCCGCTAGGACCGATGATAGCAATCAGCGGAGCTGGAGACATTTTGTACCGCCACAGCGGATGATTTTTCACATTGTATATCACGTTTCGGTGGCGAATCAACGGGACACAGTTCACTGACATGTGTGCAATATCAGTTTGTTCTCATTCATCACATTGGCTGTTCGGCTGAATGTTAGCGATCGATCGCGGCAGTATGGACCTATCGGTCAGCAACTGTGAGGTTTATGGTGCATCGCTCTATTGGATACGTAATTCGTTGTTGACAGATAGTCGGCCGTTTCAACGATTAGGTACATGTCATTTCATGTCTCTTAGGCTAGTTTGTAGGAATTACGGTACCCGATTTAGATCACTTAAGCTCCCTTGAATCAACCTTTACGGTGTATTTGAGCATTAGGGTTTCTAATTTCTCTACCGAGCAACTTAAATGCTTAGTTACTTACTCGCTTCCGAGGGAAAGCACATGTACACCCACAACGTAGGACTAATTATTCAGTTGAATACCACGGGTTTTTCATCACTTCAAACATGCTATCAATGTAGAATGAATGTCATTTACCTGCCCCTGACTATTCTCTCTGCGCAGAGATTTTTTTAGTGTCGTGGCATTATATATATATATATATATATATATATATATATATAACTTGACCAAAATACAATTATCCGTGCTCCAAAACACATGGGTAATAGCAAAAAAGAGGAATAGACCATCAGTGGGAGGGTCTCACAACACGTTTGCCATTGGGTATGCTTCCGGGCCATACCCGATAACGTTTTCAACCAGGTGTGCTCACTGTCTTTCGGCCCTCAACCCAGTAGTCTTTAACGTTTTACTGTGACCAGTTGCAGATTCAACGCCTTGACACCGCGGTGCCAGATTGTGTGCTGGCCACCTTCCTTACGCTTGCAGTCAACGCCGGCGCATGCAAACATAGCTCGGCGGGGCGACTGTTGAGGAGATATTTGGGGAATGTGCCCGAACCAACGGAGCGCACTCAAGGGAATTATACAGCTCAGGGACATTGGGTAGTTGAGCTATGAGACATTTGTGCAAGTATCTTCTGCTGAGTGATTTCACGTATATTTGATGTGAACCAACACGATAGCTTGGCCAGTTCACCTTAACATTGGGAATATTGCACAGCATTTCTCCACAAAGAAACTAACAGATTATCCGGTTAGTCTGATTTGTGTAGTTCAGTCAGTCGTCTGTGCCGTCTAACTTCTTGCTCCGGTTTGGGGTTGTTAACCTCAGCTCGAACACTACTCCTAGAGTCCATTCAACGCAGACAATGGGGAGTTCTCATACAACGTGAGACTTATTGCGAAAAAAACGCCCACCGGTTCGACTGTACTGGAACGTGTACTGATCGCTGTTCCACATGCTGGAGCCACCATACGTCAGCCCTAGGAAGAGAAGATATGAACGATAAAACTAAGGAATGCATTGATTGTTACCGTCTTACTAGAGCGATGAGAAGCCTAAGTGATCAACAGTTCCTTGGCTTCGCCATTTCAATGGGACAATGGTTTATTACGAGTAAAAAAGCGTTGCTTAACAAGTCCCGTAGGATGGAAATTATTGTGAAAATCAATTACATGATAAAGTGAACAGCGTTGTGGTGGACTCACCATAGATTTATGCGGAATAGCGGAGATGTTCGTGTATTAAACATATAAATCCATTGGTTAGGCGTTTGGCAAGACACCGTTTGATTGCGTTTTGTAACCCCTGGCTAACAAGTCATAAAATGAAATGTAAGTAAGACCATGCATCGTCAACACGTTTTAGAAATATCGCCAAATTGGGAGCATAGACGACATAATTAGGGAGATCGTTCCAAGGCTGGCACACGCGGAGAGAAAAGAAATTTCTACGGCATTCAAGCCGGCTTTACTGAATTGTCTGTTTCAGAGGGTGACCTCTTAGTTTAATGTTGCGGTTCAATTCCAGCAGCGGACGACACATGTGGTTTGGGTTCTTCAGAATCTGGTAAACCATTATGAGATCCCCCCGCAAAAGCCGATATCGACTGCTGTAGATTCTTAGAGATTTCAGTCTAAGCTGATAGGGCAGATGAAAGAGGCTCCTGACGTTCTTGGTTGCCCGTCGTTGAGGAGTCTCGAGAGCAACGAGATCCTGTTTCTGCCACGGCTGCCACACCTGAATAGCATATTCCACGTGAGGTCGCACGTAGGCGTTAAGCATTTGGGGAAAGATTGAGGGTTCAAACCGACCGAAGGCTCTGCGAAGAAGGCCGAAATGTTGATTTCCGGTTCTCGTCGCCTTCTCTGCTTGTTTTGAACACCCGAGATCTTCCTGCACCAATACAGCCAGGTCACGCTCCTGAGAGGCCTTCTGCAAGGTGTGGTCTCCAATCTTGTATGCGCTCACCGGCTGGTGACGCAGATGCATCACTTTGCACTTAGCTATGTTCAATTGAAGCTTGTTCCTCTTTGACCATTCGTAAATGCAATCTAAATCATGTTGGAACAGATCCTGATCTGGCTTGTTACTAATCGCCCGCCATATCTTGACATCATCGGCGAAAAGCAGGAAATTTGAGTTGATGACCCTTTCCAGGTTGTTGATAAACACCAGGAATAAACGCGGTCCCAGCACTGAGCCTTGTGGGACACCACATTCCACCTCAATTGGGTTAGAAAGTGATCCCCTAACATGTACTTGAAGCTTTCGTTGGTAAAGGAAGTTGCCAATCCAACCAAGTACAGGATCTCCTTTATCGATGGTACAGTCTACTTTAGCACTCATTCGAAAACGAAACGCGAAAGAACACGATACAGGCGTTTGATCATCAACCGATAACCTTCTGGTTGTAGCCAGCCTGGCGAATCTTGTTCGATTAGCTCGCGCTCATCTTGCGGAGGACGGGGCACAACTAATTCGAGTGATTATGGTCTACTAAGCTCTTAAGTAAGATGTTAAAATATGTGTTCCTAATCTTTCATTATGAGCCTCATGACATTCACCCCGAGTTATTTGCAGGACTTCAAAGTCTCCCGTGGTCAGCTGTTCATACGTAGTCATTTAGGCTTTTCACAACTATCGGAATTAAGCACAGAGAGTGGAGCTGCTTTTTCTGTGAAATATTTCAGAGTTTTGTGACTGCAGAATCATTTGACATAACATGGATAGATTCCTGAAACCGCGCTTCACCAATGCCCCCCCTCCCAACCGATTTATCACAACTAAAAGTCAAGCGCATGTTTCTCATGCGGGCAGGAATAGAAAGACCCGTGTAATTAAAGCGTGCGTCGTACACTTCTATTGGGCCCATCTCTCTGACTTCATGAGACCCAATTTACATGCCACGTCTAAGAGCTTTATGCAGAACTTACCTCACATAACTTCCATAGAAAGTGCTGCTATCAGCACAACTTGGTCTGCGAATGTGCCACTCTTCCCGTTGCTGCTAAAGCTTTCCGCAAGACTATAATGAACCTGCATTAATACTCTTCTATTATTACCCGTTGGTAATCAGCAGAAACTAAACCGCTTCCACTGACAGTGTCAAGAGGTTGTAGGATTTCTCACAGCCGAACCTAGATTTCTTTATGTTCACAGGTGCAGCATTAT